TAAATATACTGTAAACTAAGAATTTCACAACTTTGTTTAGTTATTATTCTATGAAGTTCAAGTAAAATAAACAATGGGGAACCAATAAGTTATTACTGGCACTAATACAGGCACTGATGCAATAGAATCCCGTGCAAAGCACACTGTGTATGAATATCTGGTAATAGGCTAAGGATTAAAAAGCTTAACTCATTACCTTAATTGACAAAACAGCTAAACAAGTCAGACCTTCTAGGAGGCTGTAGATTCTATAAAGACAGCACTTCTCTGGATGTCTCATTTTGGAAAATGTGGATATGAAGTTTTTAAACATATTCAATGGACCATAATAAAGATAAATGAATAAGTAATACATAATAAATAATACTAGAATGAGAACATCCCTCTGGTTCCTCCGCTATTGTGTTGAAAACGTGGACTGGATTTTTATCAGCATGGTATTTCTTTGATGTAAATAAGTGGAATGGAGTTAAGTTTTTGTTATTTTTTAGCGTGAAAAATAACCGATAATGAGCGAGTTGACAGTCCTGGAAATATGTTTCTGTTCAGGTTTTATGCAGTATTCTAATCCTAAATGTGTTTTTGCTGTAGGCAGAAAATCATCATAATTGACAAAAATAAAGGTTTTAAAATGTGCGAAATTAAACCATTAGTACTGTGTAACTGAAATTGACTGAATTTACTGAATAATTATGCAAATCAAGAAGCAAATAAAATCAGATCATGTAAAAAAAGGAGTTGCCCACCATTTTGCCTCTCTGCTGAGCAGACCTGGTTTCTCGCAGCATGAAGACGTTTCCGCAGACAGAGATTTCCCTCCACACACCAGGTCTGGAGCCCTCGGTGAAACCCTGCCGCGGATGCATCACCAGAACGCCGTTTGTGGTCAGTCCGTCCATCTGACCGTCTTGCATTCTCCATTTGGCTGCCTTCTCCTGCACAGAGATCAGCATGCCATTCTTAAAAACTCAATGAAGAACAGAGAAGTTACTAAATCTCTGCACTAAATAGATCCAGCTATAGAGGCTGGTGAATCCTACCCCGAGGAAGATGTTTTTGGAGGAGTCGAAGCCGGCGGCGTAGATTCGCGCAGAGTAAGGCGGGTGCCTTTGGCAGATGATGCGACAGGCAAAGCGGGAGATGGTGCTCTGAATGGTCTGACCATCGGCGAGGCTCTGGCCAGCAGGAACTGTGTCTGTGACCACAAAGTCGATGGGGCTCTCTGTGGAACGGCCAATCTGTAACCAGGTATGGAAACAACGGGAAGATTTAGAAAGAACATGAGATTATTCCTCTCCGTTTCATCTTTTTATGTTCGATATCTACTACCTAGTGAAGATAGTCCAACACCCCCAACACTGGTGTCGTTTTTGTTACAAGCAGTAGTCCATCACAATCGCTGCTCTTTAATGTGTCTCTACCAGCTTTACCAAGCTCAGTCCAGAGCATAGAAAGGTCTGCAAAGATCCATTCTCAAGACTCAAGTTGAACTAGGTTTAAACTTTGACTGGGCCACAGTCACACAGGATCTGAACCAGTATTTTCCTTTATTTTATCCAACCCTGGTTCTCAGGACACACTGCCCTGCATGTTTTAGATGTACTCATCTAAACTGAATGCCTTAAAGGTACAGTAAATCTTTTCTGACGCATTTTTTACCATGAGGCTTAAAGATCTCCCCACAGCCGCTTAGGAAACCGTGAAATAGAAGGTCTGGAAGGGAAACTAAAATAAATGCTCCCTGCTACAGTGAGAAATCAATGAATAACCCCAACCAATCACAAAAGACGTTCCGTTGTAGATGATTTGTCGTCTGCTATGTACGCATACCCTGACACATTAACGAATTGACCCCCCAATGCTCGTGCAGGACGCCATGGCTGGAAGCTAGCCACTATTATGCTACGTTCACGCCTAAAGAAGCAAGAGC